TCTCTCTCTCTCTCTCTCTCTCTCTCTCTCTCTCTCCATAGTTTTAGAGTTGTTGACATCACTTTGTTTAAAAACACAGCCCAAAACAGAAAATCTCTGAGAATGTTGGGGTAGTTGATTTCTCATTTTATTTCGTTTAATTGAATTTAATGGAATTGCTTCCTATTTACTAAATTACTTACTATAATGGCAGATGCAAAGAAGAATATAGTAATTAAATTCAGATAAAATTTGAAAAAATGGGGGCAGTATTATAAAGTGTGCTAGTTGGATAGCAAGCATGGATGTGGTATCTGAGAGAGGTACCTCATCTGTTACATGTCCTCCCAGCCTCATAGTTAATCCATCTCTGGGATGTCATTGTGGAGCTTTGTGAGTCCATTGTTCTGACGAAGTTTTTTCTTTCTTACGTCCCAAGTCAGTAGTTTGCAAAGATCATCACCTTGTGGCGTATTAGTTTTGCTATTTGCATTTTCATTTATAATAGCTTTGCTCCAGAAGATGCTTGAGGGCTCATTTTCAGGGGCTGTCACTTCTAAAAAGCTAGAACTTGTTTTCCAAGTAGGTTTTATTTCTAGGGAAACGTGGCATTGTTCTCCTGGGCACAAATTTTCTGTGTTCTAAACTACTCTGTATATTGTCATCACTATGACATGGGACACACCTGAGCAAGGAGTTACAAGCCATACTATTGCTTAAAAACTTTGGTCACTGCATTATTTTTACTCACAGAATACCTGGCACACATTAGCTGTTAGGAAAGTGTGTGTGTGTGTGTGTGTGTGTGTGTGTGTGTGGTCCGAGGATTGGCACTTAGTCTCCTAAGGCAGGTATTAAGCCAACCAACTGCCATTGCTCCTTGGTCTTCAAGGACCCATTATTTCCAGCGACCACTGCAGGCAGCACAGAGATGCTCAGGTTCCTACAGTCAAATCTAAAGAGAAGCAGCACAAAAAATTATAGCTTCCTCTTCTGTCTTTGGAATTTATTGCAGAGGCCCATTTTCCAATGCTGGCTCGTTTCCTTTGCTTAATTCACTCACATTGTGGGTGGCAGATAGAGAGGGGTGATGTGACTGTAGAGGCATTCTATCCAGGTACTTGAGGCTGTGAGGTTGGGGTTCTTTCTGGGCTCTGGAGAGACTACACAGGAAATGCAGGTCCCATCACTCTTTAGGGTGCTTGATGGAATGTGGAGGGGAAACTTTGAGGGGGAGCTTATCTTTCTGCTCAGCTTTTAACCCTCTTGTTGGTGCCTGCAGCTTAGAAGTCAGAAATGTGAAATAGTCCTAAAATCTAAAAAGCACAAAGGAAATGCTTAGTGTGGCAGAACTAAGGGGAGTACGAGAGGTTGAGGGAAAGGTGGGTGAGCAGAGAGAGGGGAGGACACAGGAAGGGACAGCAACTGAGCAAAGCCAACTCATCCTTATCATTCTCTCTTCTCCTGGTCACCCATTTTTCTTTCTTTTCCTCTTTTTCTTTTTCTTGTTTAATTTTTCTTTTTTCTTTTCTTGTCTCCTCACTGGCATTCTTCACCCAATCTCACCTTTCCCCTCTTCTCTTGTGCTTTCTGAATGAATCTCCTTCAGCTTTCTCCTGTGCTCACAATTAGTCAACAGATTAAACGTGACAAGAGGAACCAAAGGTATGAAGCTTTTTATGTTTATTTCCCAGGACCACTGTGAGATATTATCACAACTTTGGTTGCTTAAAACAACACAAATTTATAATCAGAATTTCTGAGGGCAAAAGCTTAAAATTAAGGCATTATTCAGGTTACTTTCTCTGAAGGCTCTAAAGGAGAAATCCATCCTTGTTTCTTTCCAGGGTTTGATGGCTCCTGACATTTCCTGGGCTGTGGCTACTTAACTCCAGTCCCTATACTCCAACCCACCTTATCACCTTCTCTTCTTCTCCCACCATCTATGGTGACAGTTGTCTGACTGCATGTGTTGCTAGTAGTGCTTCAGTTCCTTTGCTCAACTCATGCTCAAATCATGAGTCGGCAAAGAGTAGCTCTGCTAGTGGTCCTGATGACTCTGGATGATGCTGAATGCCAACACTAGCTGGTGCCAGTCATCACCATTTGGCGCTGGCTTGTGCTGGATGCTTAGGTCTGCCAGGTGCTGATATCTGCTGAAGATCTCTTTTGGCTGCTAGGCTCTAGAGCTCTTTAGGAGTAATGGCTCCCATTGTTTATTGCTCTTTCTTTTGAGACAACTGCTCTATAGACAACACTTAGGTTAAGAATCCTGAGTAGATCTACAAGACCTTCATTTATTTCTACTCAAGAAATAAAGCTGGAGTAGGCTTTTACCACTACCAAAGTGAGTTTTTATTCTAACAAAATGGATACTATAGCACAGAGGAGTCACTATACCGAAGGGAACCCTCCTAGACTAACCCAAAATATGTTAAGGAGAATGCTGTTTACAAAATAACTGCAGGTCTGCGGTTGGTCGAAGTGCAGGCTTGCCGTTGGCTCAAATTCAGTCGTGCTGATTGGTCCAAGTGCAGGTCTGTGATTCATCTAACTGTGTGTAGAACTCCAGGACACTAGCAGTTGTCAAAGCAGCAATTCAGCCAGCGTGCCCAGTGAGGCAAAATGATTGACAGACATCACAGCAGTGCTGAAAGCAGGGAATCTTTAGGAGGACCGTCTGTGTTCATTAAGGATAACTGGGGTTTGGAGAGGTTGGAAATGTTAATGATAGGCCCAGAAGCCTCCCTCCCTGACCTTAGGCACAGCCAGGTGACACTTACCTTTTTCAAAGAGGCATCTGAAGTGGTGGGAACAGGGCAGGGTCACTAAGTCTGATGGGGCTTGGAGAGGAGCACTGAGGCCAGATGTCCCAGTTCATAGGGTGGGAGGATTGGAGGGGAAGTGAGGCAGAGGGGCATGAGGGCCATTGGCCAAATGACTCCTGCTCTGGCCTCTAGGAAAAAGCCAGGGCTTCTCTTCTGCCTCATACATAGCTAGGAATAGTTATGCAGGGCCCACTAAGATAACCCAGGATGAGCTCATTTTAAAAATCCCTAACTAAAGTGCAACTGTAGAATGCTTTCCACGAGTGAGGGCATGGTCATAGATTCTGAGGGGTACGACATATCTTTATGGAGGTTACTATTCAGTCTACTACAGGTGAAATTTGAACTTTCTATTAAATTCCATTTTCTGTTCTCATTCTTCCTCATAGGAAGCCCAATAGTTATTGGTGATGAATGGTTACTTAGCTTCTAATAATGTACTATTCACTACATGTTAACAGACATGATCCAAACACTCATAGTAAGATATTTTCAACTGTAGACCTCGTATTAGCAAGTCAGAAGCCTTTAAGGAAGGGGGTGCTATCTTCCTGAGTCACAACATGGAAGTTAGAATATTGCATCAATTATGCTGTAACTATTAAGTCTTTAGCCTGGAAACCAACATTAATGGTTATCAATCCCGTCCCTTTGATCTCTACCAGCTATGATAATTTTCTGTTTTGTCTTTGGACAAGTCTCACTATGTCATTCAGGCTGGCTTCATATCGGAGCTCCTCTTGGTTCAGTCTCAGAAGTGCCAGGATCGCAAGCATGCACCACTTTGCCTGGCAGTAATCATCCTTCTCATCTGTACACAACTCATGTTGAGCAATGAATTCTGGGTTACAAAAGAGGATTTCCTTTTTATCCTTGTCCATACATCTTAGTCTGTAAGTTAGACAGAAACAGACACAAGTTCTCCTGAGCTGGGTGGTCCTGGTGTCTTGAAGTTGGTCTTAGATGGCCTCAGCAGGGCAGGTCACTTCTGCCCCATGTGGTCTTTCTCCTCCAGCAGGCTAAACCACAAATGTCACAGATCAAGTTGGGGTTAGGATCCTGAGAGAGACTGAACCTGGCAAAACCACTTGAGGCCTAGATTTGGTGTGAGGAACAGCACTGTATCATTCCAAAATGCATGTAGAAGCCCTCCCTCTTGAGATGTGGTAGGGTCCATCAAGAGATGATAAGGATTAAATGAAGTCAGAAGTTTGGGCCCAAATCAGATAAAACAGTGCATTTCCATAGCTAGGAAAGCTCAAAAGTAAACATTTGAATGAGTGTCCTGTTCAGTGAGTTCAGAAACAGGGAGTTGATATCTGATGAGTAGAAGAAAGAAGGGTGCAAATCAGACTGGGTTTGGTGAATGCTGCAGTCAGGGTTTGCAAGGAAATGGATTCAACACAGGACCCATAAGTTATGATAATTTTATAATAGTCACCTGAAAAGTCAAATAAGGACAAGTGCAATAAATCTCTTCACACACTAGAGACCAAAAGAGTTCAGCTGAGAGCCTGGATCTCACAGCAATGTCCTCTACAAGTCCAGCTGGAGGCAAGAGCCCCTGGCCATGCGTCCCAGAAGCCCAAATGAAGGCGTAGAAACCATCACAATACTTCATGCAAGTCTGTATCAAGGGTCTGCACTGGAAGGCCCAAAAGTCAGTGGTGGATGCCAGAAATTCTGTACCAATGGGATGAAGGATCTGTGCCAGCATGCTGAGGGATCCGCACTGGAGCCAGGAAGAAATGCTCAAGGTAAGGACCAGAGCTCCTTGGTGCGAGCCACAGCCATCTTCAGAGACAGTAAGGACACAAGCTCCTCTAGTGATAACAGCTGAGTTCATATCAGAAAACCAATATGACAAGCTTCTCCAAGAGAATCAACAGTACATCATCTTCCCCTCCGCTTCTCCTTTCATGTTTTTGGCAGCAATCCTTAGGTAGGTCTTCTACACCCAGAGCCAGCCACCACAGTGAACTTTTCATCTATGCTTGCCACTTCCCTGAGAGACCAAGGAGGAAAGTGTGTTCCTGATTCAAGGGAGGCACCATATGGGTTGGCAGACTGCAACTGTAGCAATGAACTCTTCCCATGGAAAAAGCTCCCACAAATCCTAAAAATATGGCTGGAGCCAGCAGCTTTGTTCCACAATAGGCCGACTGCCCAAGGAACAGCAGATTTTCATCTCCCTGATAGACAGAGAGCTTATAAGCAGCAGTGCTACTGACAATCCTCTTTTTTTCTTTACAAAAAGGTAATACTGTAGGAGCAGGTGCAGTAAACAGCGAGTGCTTCTACCTCGATGGAGGTCAAGGTGAATTTTAGCATTTTCCTACTCTTGTGGCTAGACCCAGCTCTCTAGCTTTGGGGTGGAGACAGACTAGTTCTGAGGAAATGAATCTCTGAGAAGGCAAAGAGGTTGAGAGGGTAGAAAACTGGCCTACAAAAGACAACACCACCACAATCAGCTTGACTTTAGGATCTTGGAGAGGTCCTCATTTCAACAAGGGCTATTTCAGACTGCTTAGCCTGGTACTCTGTGAACTGGAGGGCTTAAGAGATGAAGCATCACATCTGCCCCTCCTCCCTCCTGCCTGTTGACTCAGGTCCAGAAGCAGGAAGGCTGAGTCGGTCAGGATGTGGAGCATCTTTAATGCACTCAGGTAACTAGCACTGCCTGAGAGGTAGAGAATAAATCAAAATATCTGAAATTGTTCTTGAATGAGCCAATATCTGTCTCTTACTACAGTGCATTCAGGGCAAGCTTAAGATCCTAATTTATTTCTGCATCTGCAGTTTAATTCATTACTTAGTACTGAATAGGGCTATTGAATAATTAAAATAAACAAATCCATAAATATTTAATGAATGAATAAATAAATGAATATATGATTTACATAGCAGAACCTTATACATATGAAGTACACAAAGTGTCTTTATCTTCCTCATTTTTCTGTCCCTGGGCTATGAATGTACTAGGTAATCAACGAGTAGTTGTTGAATTGTACTGAAGTTATAAAGTCCAGAAATTAAATATGACAATTAAAAGGAATTCAAGGAAATGTCCCTACAATTAAGGATGAATGGATGAAATTCTACCCTTCAATCCCGAGAAGGTCTCAATCTGTGCTAAAAGTGGCTGACATCTTCCTGCTGATGCTTATGCCATTAGCTGAGCCAGAAGTAGCCACATCTTTTTAATTACATCCGACTGGGGAAGGTGTGGAGTGTCAAGGAACTTCCTTTCAGAGCTGTTAATGGCTGTGTAGGAACCTTGTGTTTTGGTTTGTATCTAGTTGTCCCCCAAAACCTCATGCAGTCATGGGGCAGACTTCTAGAGGTTGTGATTAGTTCATGATCCAGTGCTGGGATTACGGGTGTGAGGGCTGCACCCGCCCTGGGCCAGATAGTCTGAAGGCAGTATAAGAAAGGGAGAGGGCTCGCTTCCTGCCATTGCTCCTTTTTGCTCTTTGCTGTTTTCTGTTGCCATGAGGTGCTTCTTCTGTCATATTCCAGTCTGCCTTGGAGCCAGCTGAGGGTGTAGAGTATTTTGTTCCAGCAACAACAGAAAAGTAACTGAGACAACTTGACTACTTATTCCCTGTGGCTGCTGTGCTCCCCTTGCCTCAACTTCCCAATGTAAACCCTGAGAGTGCAGTTCCATGTAAAAGAAATTTAGGATACACCCAAGGGGTAAGATGTAAGCATCTGGCTTCAATCAAAGGTCACTGTGCTGCAAACTCAGCCAGAGAAAACTTCCCGTGACAGGTGATCTACTCAGGATCTAGGCTTTGAAAGCCAAGGGGACTCCTGAAGCCAGCCTATAAGTCCCACCCTGATTGCCTCTTGAGCCAACGTGATGTTAAACCCTGGCTCACACCCACTGGACAAAGATTGATAGCTTGGGCAGATCACATAAACTGTGAGCATGAAGCTACCTCCTACTCCTTCTTCTGTCTGCAGGACCACAAGTGCAGGGAGAGTGGTCATTCTTGGGGCTTTAGAAATTTTATTGCTGACAAGTGGTGTTTCCCTGTGTACACGAAGCCAGCCCTAGGTACGTCTGAACTTGCCTTTCTCTGTCTCCAGACATGAATTTCCTCTTTGTTTCTCTATTTCATCTCCTCTTTGGGGTATCTGGCAACACTTTAAATGTATTCACTAAATAATCTCAGACTTAGGGTGAATTTTTTAACGTAAAAATGACAGAATAGAATCCTACACTCTCAGGCCAGGGAGATGGCTCAGTGGAATAAACGCTTCCCTGGCAAGGACAAGGGCCTGAGTTCAATCCCCGGTTTCACAAAAAACAAACAAACAAACAAACAAACAAAAAAAAGAATTCTACACTCTCTCTTTGCCATCCCAGGACCTGGATCTGTGGTAGTCTCTCTTTCTGCACCTGCTAGGGAATCCCTCATGCAAATTGTCAGAGTTTTTTGAACAACCACATAACCACAATTGTCTTAAGAACAGTTCTGGCTGATAATATAGTTCAGTGGCACAACACCTGCCTGGCAAGCACAAGGTCCTGAGTTTGATTCCTGATGAAAATAAGTACATAAATAAATAGCAAAAACAGATTTCTTAGGATTCTGAGGAAGTATATTACAGAATTTTAGAATCATCATAGAATTTAAAAAACATTAGAATTGTAAAAACAATCTCTCTGCTTTTGTTTCTCTTTCCTTCCTTCTATCCATCCTTGCTGTGCGGGACTAGAACCTAGGACCTTGTGAATGCTAGGCAACCACTGAGCTGGACTCCAAGCTCCCCAGACTTTTTTTTAAAAAAAGAAAACCAGTGGAATAATTCCTTTAGACTCCCCTCAGGGGCTGCTCAGGCTTGAGAAGAAAAACCGCCACAGTCACTGAGACCTTGTGGGCTGTGGGCCTGAAGGCGCCTGCAGCTCCTGAAAACACTGCAAGGTGCTTTTATTCCTTCCCTAACACGTAAATGGAGCCAGCCAAAGTGATGCCAAGGACGCTCTATTTCTGTATGACTGCTCAAGCTGCAGAAACGGCTTCAAAATCACTGAAAGCCTGCAATGAAAGGGCGTATCTAAAAAGACTCACCAAATTCTTTGGGAGCCTGATCCCAGGAGGGACCTCAGTGCCTTTGATCACCTAGAGGCTATTGTGACAGGAGAGGGTGTTCAGCAGAAGGAGGTGTTGACGGAGGGAGGCCAGCTTACGGAAGTGCAGGCTTTTTCTCCAGTATTGTATCACCCCGTGATGCATCCTACAGTGTCTTCATCCCTGAGATTCACTGAATTTGCTGCTTTGTGCTTTCACATTCATTGAAACAACTCTAGAGGGTCAATTCCAGAAACTTGCTGGTGGGGCACCGTAATGACTTCTCCGTCAACCAGTGAGTCCCAACTGGCCTTGTTCCAATAAGACTTAGGAGGCTGGAGAGAAGGGGACATTTGTCTCTGGAGCTCAGTCTCAGCCCAAGGGGTAGGGATTACTCATTTGTATCTCTTCCCATATTCTTTGGGGTTCTCTTTACTTCTTAGTAGCCAATCCCTGTTACTTCAACCCCTGGTTTGGATAATAGTTCTCTACATTAAAATTCTCTGTTCTCTAGATTAAAGCTCTCTGTTCAAATAATTATGCTGTTTCTCCCTTCTGATTAAACTCTGACTGATTTACAACCCTCAGAAATTTCTCTTGCAGGGCTGGTGAGATGGCTCAGTGGTCTAAAGCACCTACTTAGAACAAGCTTGGCAAAGCACAGGGACCATGGTTCAATCCCCCAGCACCACATGCCAGCCAGC